AACCAAGATACATCATGTACAGGTACAAACAGCCAATGATAAATGTAAACGTATTGTGTACCTAAAATGTACCAATAAAAGAATTTAAGCAAAAAAAAAATTCTCTAGTTTTGTAAGTTTTATGAGTTATAGCTTTGAAAAAGCTGATTTTGTTTTTTGTTTAAGAAACAAAACCTTAACATGTGGAAACAGGTCAGCAGGGCTTCTGCTGCCCAGAGTGCAAGTAGGAAGGAGCTGTGGGGACTGTGTAAGATTACTCAATGCTCTGTAACATCCTCATCCTGTGGTCATGTCTGAGTTCCTCTCCTGCCTCTGTTATGATCAGAAAGTTCATAGCCTGAAATGATTTCAGGAGTGTTAAGAAAGAAGGGGTGCAACCAGCCCTGTGAAGTGGGTTGGTGAAACCCTAAGGCCTTCAGTAAGTGGAAGAGTTTAGGAGAAAAGGAGAGAAGTGTGAGTCATGAAGCCTAGAATAAGGAAGAGAAGGGCATGAGAAGTTGTCCCATTTCTGGGAAGTAGTGTGACGATGCCCTGGTACCTCTGGGGGTTCCACTCCTATAAGGGTAGAGGACACATTGTCAAGGACCAGAGGAGAATTAAGGCCTAATTGGCCTCCTGTATGAGCACAGAGGAGAAAGGCTGCACTTAAGGGTGATTGCCTATTAGAGAAAAGTTAAGACTGCTGAGGTTAAGTTGTTTACCAGAGAATGTACTAATGGATACTGGAAACCAGATGAATCTTGTGTTACCTTGATTGCTTGTGCCTGTGTTTGGGTGAATAAAATCGAGGTGAGCCAAAGGCTCTGGGCTCCTCTGCCTGCTAGAGGCCTGAGCCTCGTGGCTCCTCAAGTGTTGAGCTGACTCCATGTCTATTAGTCATACTCATTTGCCTTGTCCCCCCCCCCCCCCGCCGTCTGGGAGGGACAAAGTAGTGGCTCTGGGTCGCAGAGCCAGGCTGAGTGGGTGAGCTGGCTACAGGTGGCACCCCAGCGTGGGACCAGAGATCTGCAGTCACCTACAACTCATTATTTTCACGTTGTCTGATTCTGTTCTGGGAAAAGGATTATAGGATGGCCTGAGCACTCTTCTGGGGTCTGTATTCAATTTCATCTGACTGCTCTTTGAGTCACACCTCAGGCCAGGATCCTGGAAGCAATACACAATTTCTTCATGAATGTCTTGATCGCTCAGCAAACCTTGAACAGCAGCTGTTCCTAGGCACCAGGGAAATAGATACTCCAAAGAGGATAAAGGCCCAAATCTCATAATGTGAGCTTCTAGTCTGAAAAGAAGTAGACTTATAAAGAGGTCCATGTGAGCTGGGCCTGCTGGTACCTACCTGTAATCCCAGCACTCTGGAGGCCTAGGCAGGAGGACTTCAAGTTTGAGCCCTGCCTGGGTGACACAGCAAGACCATCACAAAATAAAAGCACTA